ATTCAACCGAAAAATTTGAAACTGAAAACGAACAGAAACTGCCCTAAGATGACTTTTTTCGGAAAAGTTCAAAACACAAAAAGTGTGCAAAATAATGTTTTACTTCAGTTTTCGTGAAACTAATAAAAATGAGCTCGTTTCGTGAGTTAATTGTTAAAATGAATTAAAACTACTATAATCAATATCATCTGATTATAAGTTATAATCGATTTTTTAATAAAAATTTTAAACACAAAAGTTGTCTAGAATCACGTATACATGCCTCTACTCAAATTTCATAATTTATCGAGATCGTTTACTATTTTTTAAGATATATATATCAATACAATTCATACTATAACAATAAACTCGTAATTAAATTATTTGTACCTTGAGTCCACCACTTCGGTCTCTACTTCCGGCCTACACATATATTCCATGTGGCTCCCGTATACCTAACATCGCGCTGAAGCCAAACTTGCATGGGGATATCATCTCGAGTTTGACCCACATTTCCCGAATGGTTAGCATATACGTACGAGCGTAAATCAAATCACTCGTCTATTCATGAGAACGATGCAATAATATACATATATAAAACATCTCACTCATGAGAACAAACATAACAATGCCAAGTCTAAGACATTCAAATAAATTTCATAATCCTCACTTTTTTTTTATACACTATTTCTTCCCAACACTCAAATAAAATAACAATCCATGGAGTCATGGTGGAGTATAAGGAATTTATCTATGGGTTCCTTATTAATTTTAATTGCATATAACCATGAATGTGATTACAACTATAAAATAAATACATATTGAAACCCTAAATCTGGCATACACAACTAATCAAAATAATTAAAATCAATCAATCATCTATGTACAAATACGCAATCAATTCAACATCAAATTAAAATAAATAAATAAATAAAAACAACGAATTAAATATAAATTAAGGGAAGTGAGTTTTGTGCTTATAATATTTTTTTGAAGATCAAAGAATTATTTAAAGAACTAATAGAGCCACCAAAATAAAACCTTAGGTTGCGTTTGGTAGAGTTTTGTAAATATGATTTGAGAGCATGGGTTGTATTTTAAGTTTGTGAGTTGTGAAATTATAATTTAAGTGTAAAAAATTTGTTTGGTTATAGTTTTTGAATTGAGTTTTAAATTGAGTGTGAAATTGAGTTTTGAAAGTTTGATTTGATATGTGAAGTAAAAAAATTTGTTTGGAGTTTTGGAAAGAGTTTTCAAAACTTAATTCAAATTGTTATAACTCATAACAAAATACACTACTTTCACACTATTAAAAATTCTGATCAACACTCATAACCAAACTTTTTTTAAAATTCAATTAAAAAAATTTATTATTAACAGAAAATAACATTAATCAATTTTTTAATTGAAAATACTACAAAAGAAATAATTTTTTTTCAAAATGAATATTCAAAAAATTTAAATCATAAATATTTAAATAATTTAAATAATCTAAAAAATTTAATAAGTAAAAAATTAAAATAAATATTCAAAAAATTTAAATCGTAAAAATTTAAATAATTTAAATATTCAAAAAATTTAAATAATTTAAAATGTTAATATTTTAAATTTAAAAACAACTCTACACTCAAATCGTAACCAAACACATAAAACAAAACGCATAGAACAAATACGAAAACAAACAAAGCAAGTAAGATGCAATACTAACCAGAAGAAGAAGCAGGAAACTGAAGATGGAAGCAAAAGGCAGCAAAACACGAGCTCAGAAAATGAACAAGCAGTGGAGGCTGAGAGAGAGAATTTGTAAAGTGTGTTGAAATGATGAGACTAGTTTTAGGTAAAGGGAAAAAAGGCGGGACTGTTCAAATTTCACGAAGTACGAAGACAGCGTGACAGCCGTCCTCAATCAA